CTCAGACAACCGCCTATTCTTAGCAAACACTAACTTTAGGCATAAGGAAAAGCATCTGTTGACCTGGCGACCTCCAAAGTCGTCTCAACGTTGGACTCAACTAGATCACATCGCCATCAGCCACCGATGGAGGGGTTCGATAGAGGACTGTCGCTCGTTCTGGGGCACATGTCTAGATTCAGATCATGCCCTAGTGCGAGCGCGTATTTGTTTGAAGCTTACTGGGCGTAGGAAAGACACCGTAAGAAAGCCTCTTAGGGTTTTACCTAATGATAATAAGGCGAAAAATATATTTCAGGAACAACTAGAAAGACAGTTAGGCGACCATTTAAGCGATTCCCATCCGGAAGCAGGATGGAATGATATCAAAAAGGCTGTGGAAACAGCAGTGATATCTGCTAGTAAGGTTGACCATAAGGTTCGAATGAAGCCGTGGATCTCAGTAGCATCCACCGATCTGATGGATGCCCGAAAACTCATCCCACCTGGCTCTGAACATGATGAAGAACGAAGTCAACTTAGGCGCAGACTTATAAAAAGTCTACGTAACGATCGCGAACAGTGGTGGGTGGCGAAAGCAAAAGCGATGGAAAAGGCAGCGGCGATAGGCAACACTAGACAACTTTTCCGACTTATCAAGCAAACTGGTATTAGGAATCCTAGTGTAAGTGAGACTATCTCAGAATATGACAGGACTATTATTTATTCTCAATCCAGGAGACTGGATCGATGGGCAGAACACTTTAGGGATCAGTTCAACTGGCCTCGAGCCACTCTTCGGTTACCCACGATCTCCAGTCATCCTGAATGGCAAATCGACGTAAGTCCCCCTAGTCTTAATGAAGTCGCAAAAGCGTTAGGAAATCTGAAGCGAGGACGAGCTGCAGGTCCTGATAGACTGACCCCTGAGATATTTAAGGATGGTGGTTCAGTTTTAGCAGCTAGGTTGACTGAGATCTTAGGTAGAATCTGGGAACTGGACGTAATCCCATCTGACTGGTCTCAATCACTGATTGTCCCAATCTATAAGAAAGGACAGAAGTCTTCTTGTGACAATCACAGAGGAATAAGTCTAACTAATATAGTATCTAAAATATTGGCCTCAGTAATACTTCGACGCTTAACGAAAGCTCGTGAAGAGCAAACTCGAGAAAACCAATCTGGTTTTCGACCTGGACGTGGCTGTATAGACCACATTTTCACACTACGACAGGTCCTGGAACACAGACACACATTTAGGCGTCCTACAATAGTTGTTTTCCTGGACCTTAAGGCGGCATTTGACTCAGTGGATCGTGAGGTTCTGTGGCAGTGTCTGTCATTGAAAGGTGTACCAAAGAAGTACATTAACCTCATACAAGCTCTCTACTCAAACACCACTGGTTGAGTGAGAGCTTATGGCGAACTGTCACCGGAATTCTCTACTTCAAGTGGTGTCCGTCAGGGATGTCCACTTTCTCCATTTTTGTTTAATTTTATCATAGACATGCTCCTAGAAATAACCTTATCCTCGTCTGAATTTTCAGGAGTAGACCTTTTACCAGGTGGCTCGCTTATTGACTTAGAATATGCCGATGACATAGTCCTACTTGGTGAAGACGCTGACAAAATGCAGAGTCTTCTGACTACCCTAAGCAACAATGCAAGCATGTTCGGGATGCGGTTTTCTCCCTCGAAATGTAAAATGTTTCTTCAAGATTGGGTGTCATCGGCACCTGAACTAGTGATAGGGAGTGAAGTGGTCGAACGTGTAGACCGCTTCACTTATCTTGGGAGTCTCATCAGTGCTGATGGCCTGGTGACTGACGAAATCTCGGCACGGATACAGAAGGCTCGATTGGCTTTTGCCAACCTGCGTCACTTATGGCGTAGGCGAGATATCCGTTTGCTGACTAAAGGACGAGTGTACTGCGCCGCGGTTCGTTTAATACTATGGGATTTGAATTGACAATTGCGTCTTTGTGCTAATGCGGTATGACAACCACCGACTGCCTCGTCGAGCTTTGTTTTGTAGCGTAGGAATAGGTTGGAAGAAAGCTAGGGGCGGCCAGACCAAAACATGGCATAAATCCATGAAGTCACTGACAAGTGGACTGAGGAGCCATGTTGGTAATTGTCGACTACCTGGTTGGGGTCCGCGTGATGATAATAATCGATGGTTAGAGACTTTGAATGACATGGCTCAAAATCGTTTGCAATGGCGCCAGTGCATTTATTCTTTGTGTTCTCTCAAATCCTAATCTTCTGGGTTCTTCAACACCTCTAGCTTTTACTTTCTAAACTTATCTCATTGAATCATACTTCGTGAATAATATCTTCTAATTCTAACCTCTCCGATTACTTCTAATACCTTTACTACCTCTTCTACTATTGGATTTGAATTGACAATTATATCTCTGTGCTGATGTGGTATGGCGACATGAACTGATGTACTTACGTACGAAGTTCTACGTTGCAACTGACTGACTGACTCTGGAATTCTTATTAGAAAAGTGTTGTATATACTCTTCAATCACTCACATTATATCGTATCAACTCCTTGATGGCGTTACAGACGTAATAGTTTTAACCATCTCGGACACTATGAAGGTAGTTCTCACTAGCTTGTTGACTAGGTCGATGATATTTGGCATTAATTTATTCGTTTCTCAACATTTATAGTCCTTGCGTTCCTCGCAAGAATAATAGTTACCCTAAAGTCCATTGTGGAATCTATTCGGTTTGTCAGATAGTCAGGCAAGTGTATTGAACGTAACAGTGTTAGCTTAAGTTATCACAACTTAACACAGCTACCAGTAAGTGGTACAGTTTCGTGGACATAAAACCTAATCCTCTTCACTTTTATACTAAAGTGCTCTGGTATGGCTGCGATTAGGAAAACCCATTCCCTCCCTCTAAATAGCTACTGCCAAGGTAGTCTTACTCAGTGCCTTCTAGCGCAAAGGGTGTTTACGAAATTTAGAGGACGTATAGCGAATTTCCGGTGCTTAGATTGGGTGGAAGGGTACGGATAATCCACCTAGGGGAGTTGGCAAACCCTGGTTTCATATCAATGCTTCACGTGTGCTCCAGAATCCTGATCCAATAAGTAGCTTACGAATCTATTGTTGGTGGCTAGTCACCATAGGATTGCATCTCTTAACGTTTCTCCACTGTATTGTGCGTTAAATATGTAGGTCAAAGGCCCTGGGAGCGATCCCCTAAGAAGACCATTTGCTTCGGTATGAGGACCCGGACAATATCTCACCCAGCCCACAAATCTACGGGCTTGTGTGCTACGTAAATATTTAGGTGCACCCTCATGCTAATAAATAATAATAATAATAATAATAATAATAATAATAATAATAAAAGTTGCAACGTACAAAAGGCTTTAAAGCTCACATTGTTCCTAGTTTTGTAGGTTTCTCAGACATTCTAGCTTTCTTTTAAGTGTATAAGTAGGTGTAGCTATCATCAAGTACATAGACAGAGCTCTACTTAACGTTTCGTTTCAAAGTCAAGTGAGTAAATGTTAAGTAATTAGTTTTTTTTGTGAACTTCTTCAAAATATCCTCATTAGTTTCCTTGTTCTGGTTGATATGTAAAACAGGGACATTTCTGATGTCAAGTTATTGTTCAGTAACTTAGGGAATGATTAAGTTATCTTTAGTCCTTACTCCAGGGGCAGAGTTTATGTGGTTTGAATTGTTTTTTATTGTTAGCGTTTTTTAGCGAGTTATTTTTTTACGGGTTGGGGTCGCCAACCTCAAGCCCAACCCTTCCTCCTTTATCCAGGCTTGGAGGGGGCTCCAGATGTGGCTGTTTAATCATAATATTATGCGAAGTAACGACTACCTAGTTTAAACTTTGTGACCAATAATCATTGAGTAATCGATATATAATTGAGTAGACTTAAATGTAATCCAATTCTTCTGTGGTCTTCATCAATACATATTTTTTAAAAAGCTTATTCATTTCCCAATCGCTGAGGGGATTATCATTCAAATGTTATGTGTACTGATTGTCCGGATAATCCATTCCTGATACATCCTGTCCTTTATCAGAAAAACCTCCCACTTCTTCGTAATCAGAAAATATTGAACCCGTCCTCAATTCAAAACAGCAGTCCATTTTCTATATAGGAGTTGGCTGTTTGTAAAAGATTCTTGAGATATATTCGAAGAAATACTATTTACAACTTCATAAATATAATAATATCTGGGTGGCTAGAAGCTCTATATATTGTTCCGAGGGTCTCAAAACGTTTGATAGTTATTGTATGACTGGTAATTATTCCACATCAGTGTTTAAACAGCAGGTGAATTAAAATTATCGTTTGTTCGTTTTTATCTCGAGGAATAATATGCATCTATATTTATCTGACTGTTCTTAGCTTCTTCCCACCCAATCGCCATTGAGCTTCTAAGTACGGGGTATGTATAGTTAAACTTGTATTTTCAGAACTCAAAAGCTCAAAATAAATCATATACATAGGACTTAATTTTATCGCTTTTACACTATATCGTATGATCTAAGTATTGTTTCAATCTGTCTACTGTTTTGACGTTGATAATTTTATTTTATTTTGAAGAGAAATTCGATCTGGTTACTAAATGGAATATTTTTAAATGTCTATCAGCAACAAGGACGTAATCGCATTATCAAAGTGAGTCTTGAACATGTGTAAACTAACAATTTAGACGTTCAAATTTGGATGCTGCATTTAGTCATATGAGATCATGTTTTTAGAGCGTTGAAAAAAGTATTCAGCATAAATGTCTGAATAGTAAATTGACGAAAGGTCTCGTTCCTGTCCTCTATCTATCTCTTCTGCACTGAGTTTAAAAGAAAACAGAATTTGAAGACCAATTCGATTATTGTTCTTCCTCTGTCGTTCACTAATTCATTCGCAACAATTGTCCTTCCATTTTGTCCTCATATCTCATTGTTTCTACTTGTTTTCCTTTTGTGTGATGTTGCATAGTCTGGTAACTTGTATAGTTTAAGTTTTGTGTCAGATTCGTTAGGATTATCGAAAAAGAATACTATAATTTTGACTATATTGTTCAGTACATTATAAACAGTAAAACCTAAGATGTGGACTGAAAATTATTTGTGATGGTTTGATATTCATTGTGTGTGTCACCTAACCCCGGATAATGTCCATAATATCGAGCTACTCAGTCAATTGTTAAACGGGTCACGGGATGGTTACCAATCCTCATACCGTAGTTCTTCCTCTTTTCTTCTCTATATGAATATTACGATTTTATCTCTCCTTCAACCAGTTTTCTGTCGAACTCATCCTTGTAATTTTCATGTGGTAAATTTTTTATCTCCACTGAAGTAAGTCCGTACTTCCAAAAGATGAAAATAATTTTAATCGATAGAAGCATTTAAAATGTTGTTTTTTACTTTTACAGCTTTCTTCATCCTGATCGGATTTCTCGTCAAACTCTGGAAGGTATTAGTAGTGCAGCACAACAACAGTTTGCTAAATCAGATCGATATAAACTGTGCCGTGTTTTAGTTAGTTAATTCACTTTAAGTACTAATTCTCTGTAGATGTTTCTTCTTCAGAATGAATTTTTTCATGAGACAATCCTACATTTTGCAGCGGTTTATTTATTATGGGATTTTTGGAAGTCAGATCACTCGCCTATTAGTAATAACCCATTCACAGAATTTTTGATTTCATTTATGGTTAGTTTGTTTTATGTAGCCATTCCTTAGTCATTTCTAAAATTTTAGCAGGATGAAGTACGCTGCAAGTTGCCGCGATCTGCAATTTCAATGTTTCATACAATTCTTTGTCAAGGTGATCAAATTCATAATGTATGTGGCAGTGTTTTATTGTTAATATCCTTCACAATTTATTTTTTCTTTTCGAACAGTTTCTGAAGTATACTCCAGAACAGATATTTGATTTACCACATTCTTCGATTGATGTTAAAGTGAGTGTATATTTCCGTTTTGTGTTGTCTATTTCTTGGTTGAAACTATTTAGAAAAGCAATTCACCTTCTTATTTTATTCCTTATCATATAATATAGCTTGACTGGGATCTGATCCCATTAACCAACTCACTGAAATCATCTGGTCGAGTTCCAAAATGTGCTGATTCTGGAATGGCTTGTGTTATTCCTGACGAAGATATACCATGTTCGTTTGTGTAAGTTTTTAGTTTTAGGTCCTCAAACATCCTACAATACCTTTTCGAAACTTTTGAGGAAATCTCCATGTGTTAATTTGGGTGATATTAGCTAATTCAAATTTCATGACTATGTAATGTGTTCCGTTTCTCAATCAGTCATTAGATTTTACATGCCTAATCCGGTCATTTATGTTACTTAAGTACAAACAGACTGGAG